ATGACAAACAATTACACACTTTACAAGAAATCAAGCTTTTAAAAATATTTTTAAGTCAATTATGAAGCTCTACTGTTCACTAATAATCTTCCTGGTTAAGAAAGAGAAATGCAATTGCAACTAGGAAATTACCCTTTCAGGACTGAAAGGCTGTACAGCAAAGCCATCCTCGGGTGGTGGGGAGTTAGGATCCTGATGACCATTCAGAAAAGCCCTATTAAAGACCTTCACAAGCTTTCAGTTATTCTATCTGTGTGCAGGCTCAGCTTGCAGAAAGTAAGTCCAAAACAGAAAGCAGTGTAATCTTTATTTCTCCTAGAATCCGTGGAAAGCATCCCTTATTTTCCGCTTTAGAGGACTAAAGAGAAAGAGCCCCACCACCACCAAACCACTCAAGTCCTGCAGCCAGGCTGTGAATTAGCATCTCATTTTCTAGTGGGCACCACTGGGTACATTTAACTTTGTTAGTACTGTTCGTGCTTGTGTTACCCTAAAACTTAATAAAACAGGAAGATGTGCAAAAGGAGATCAGTGCTGCTTCCATTTCAAATTGGTTTTACTTTGTTTTTCCTAGTACAGCACAAGTGTTGTTTTCCTGTGCAGAACTGCAGATCTCCAGCTGTGGGAGGAGTAGCAGAGACTTACCTCCTCTCCATTTGAAAAAAATAGATGCGTCCATGGAGGTGGCTTTTTAGAGAAGGATGCAGGATATATAATCCTCTGGACCCTCTCCTGATTTCTTTTTAATTTATTTATTCCTTCAACTTTATGAATTAAGTTTACTTCAAATAAAGAAAAACAGCCTCCAACTTTTGGATTTCATTATTATATATTTGCAATAAAGATAGATTGAAATGTAGCTTTGTGTGGAATTCAAAGCTCAGGCCTTCTCAGTTCCTTTTCCCTTGTACAGATACAAAATATTTTCTTCCTCACTTTTGGCTGTAAAGGATAAGTGCATGTTTCTGATCAGTGGATTTCTCCTCATTTGGATGAGCCCAGCTGCATCCAGGTATTGATCCCAAGCATTACAGCAGAATGAGCTGCTATAATCACAACTCTTATTTACTGTAGATAGAGACAGAAAGGTAAACGGGAGGGGAAGGGAGGATCAGGTGCCAGTTCTATCATATCTAGTTTAAATACCCTTTGATTAACACATTTCTTGTGTAGTTTCAAATATATAATCAGAAAATGGTTTTAATAGCAAAGAAAAGCTGTTTTACAAAGATGTTTTATTCTGTTATGTTTGGGGCCCTAGTATTTCAATATTGAAAATGGCAAATACAGAATATTAGCGAAAATAAATCGCTAGTTATATTTGTTAAATAAATAAACAATACAAAGAGGCAAGGGATAAAAAGTTAAGCTTTTAATGTAAGATGATGTTTATTCTGTATTGAATACTGTCAGAAATAGTCACTTGTAAATCATTGGCAGAAGAATGTCTTGATAAACTTTTCAAGTGATTTCAGGAAATATTTTGTGTTTTAGGCCTGTCCATAACAAAACAAATTACACTGGGTAATCTCTCACCTGATCGCAGCACTTAGGATTTAAGCTTTGTCCAGTAGATGGCAAAAATGAGCAGAAATAATTTCTTTGATGTCCTTTTGGTCCAGGGCAGGGAGAGGGGAGGCACGGGGGACACTGCTGTATCTTGTATTTTACCATTATGATTGAGTTATGGCTCGTGGTTTAGAGGTGTGTTGTCAGGTATGCTGGAGCTGTGCTGCATTGCCAAGTGGGGCTGGTTTGTAGCAGCCTTGCTTATACTAATTGAGTTTCTCCAGCAAATCAGGCTCCTTGGAAAAAGGCCAAAGGCTTTTCATAATTGTATTGACAAGAAAATGAATATGATAAATGGTGTTCATTCAGCTGAGACAAGATTTATAGTTTTCCTCTGGCAAGGGATGAAGAGAAAATATTTATAATAATAGTAAAATTTGTTTTAAAGTTGTATTAGGTGATATCTCAAAAGACTTCATTAAAATATTTCCAAATATTTTAAGCAGCTTCAGGTTTTAAGTGTAGCATCTTCCCAAAGTATCTGGTAATGAACGATGAAAAAAAACCCATCAAACAAACAAAAGAAAACAAAACAAAAAACCCAAACCCCTGGATATGAAAGTCATTTATTCTTCCTGAAATATTGATATGTCAAGCTGTCAATGACGCTTGCAGTACCACAGCTTGAGAAAGTTTATTTGCCTTTTGTGTGCAGAACATGTGGACTCTGGAGTTTGTAGGTCAGTCCTGAGCGAGCAGGTGTGGCCTGGAAAACTCTGAGTACCCACTGGTATAGAGTCAAAACCTCTTTTTCCCTGACAGTGGTGCTTCTCCTTACATATTTTATTCTGCTATTTACTGCCAGGCTGCCTGGATAAGATGTTGATTGTTTAATCCAGTTTTTCCATACTAACACCAGACTGCAGTCAGAGGTCCACATGTCCATGGAGATTTCAATTGTGAGTTCAGGGTAATATCCACCTTTTTGTTCCTTTCATTTAGTGTTTCTTACAGTTAGATGGTAACCCATAGGCAATCTTTTCCTGTGTTCCTCCCAGCTGATTCTTAGTATTTAATGATTTCTGTTGTCTGTAAAAGAAAAAGGTTGCAATAAGAAAATGGGTTGCAAGAATTAAATTATTAGGTTTACTCAGAGATGCAGTCAGCTCAATAGCACCTGATATCTGTGGGTGAATGTATGAAACTGCCTATAGAAAATATCCATCTATAGACATACAGACACTGAGCTCAGAGAAAAGTGGGGTTTCATCTAGTGGTCATTTAAAAGTTCCAGTTGACCTAGATATTGGGTTGGCTGATCCTGTGCTGCTCTAGGTGTGGATCACCAGAATAAGCAATAAAATCTTTTTGCCAAACTACCAGTGTTACATATTTGTCCAAATTCATATCATATTTCTTAACAAAATAAAACCATGGGCAACAATAAGATGGCTTCTTCAAAATTATTCTGTTTTTGAAGAACTAAATTTTTAAGTCATGTATTTTAGCTGTTCAGGATTAGGTACAATCTTGAAAGAGCCAAACCATTGTAGAGGTTGAAGTTTCCTAATCACAAGAAGAGAATGCATTTTCTCATGAAGCAGTGATCTGTTTGTAAGAGCAGTCATTGCCTGTTTGCAGGGATTCAAACCTCAGTATTATTTTTTGCAGTTCAAATTCCTTTGAGCTTGAACTGACTGCTCAGGTTAAGTTCATGACTTAGCCAGATTCCTTGAATTTTGTGGTTAAAAATTATACTGTGCTTGAAACCAATTTATTCCATTTCATTCGATTTGTAAAAGAAACAATAAATTGCCGAAGCCTTTCTGTTGACCCCGGCTTTTATAAAATTTGACTATAGTTTCTAGTCTTTCCTGGTCAATGAATAGGACTCAATACTTTAAGTTTTTGAATTAAGATAGTGAATCATACTGGGTGTATGAGCAGCCTTTGATATTGCTGGCTTTTTCTTGGAGGGCTTGGCTGTCAAGTTACTCTCCTTGCCATGAGATCTGAAAAGGCAACTCCTTTCTGTCCCATGACAGTCCACCGTGGGGCTGTTGCACCATCTCCTGCAGTGTTCCTGGGGCTACTTGGAAGGTTGAGGATTAGGGATGACTTAGGAGAATTAGTAGCACAGCTCAGTTCTGTACCTTAGGTGGCATCTGCTCCATCTGGAGAATATGGACCATCCTCTGCTGACAGTGAGCTGGGCTGGGAGTCCACCTCAGCAAGAATGTAACTGCCATTAGTGAGTTTTTAAAGGTGTGAGGTGGCATGGGTCATCTGTGCCCTTTGAGGCTGTTACAGGTAAGTGAGATTTGAATTTAAATCTCAGTTTATTGCTGGACAACTCTCCATGGTATGTTTAACTCCAGTTTGTTTGATTTGCAATATAAAAAACCCCATAAAGGAGCAAGAAGCAAGGCCTAGAAGTCATGTCAGCCTCTTCCACTCTGTACAGTTCCCACTGCAGAGCCTCGAGCAGTTGGCACAGGACTGACCAGCCTTTATTGGCTGACTGGGCAATAGCATTTTCCTAAGGATAGTCACCATTTCTGCTGTTTAAACAAAACAGAATTATATGACAAGAGACAAAGCTGAAAATTTAAAATTAGTTTATTATTAAACAAAACCACTGACTAGATTAGTTAGATCATGTTTTAACCAACCAAATCTGTTGGTTCCATATAAAAAACCTGTTTAATTCTTTGCCAGGCTGTGCTGCCATATTTCCATTTACCAGTCTGCATTCTTGTCCAAATAAACTCTTTTACAACATGTTGGGAAAACTAGGGGTCAGCTTTGTATCAAATTGATGCATAAAGTATTTTGATATTGTCAGTAACTCAGAATACTTTATAATTACATTGTAGAGTCCATTTCATTTATTTTTTCCTGTAGTGCATTTTTTGAAATCCTACTTTAAAAGAACAGCTCTTCTGGGTGCTGATGACCAAACAACACTTCTGAAAAAGTTCCTAGAAATCTAACTTTCCTGGTCTCCCCTACACAGTTTGGCCTAATTCTCTTCTTGAATGCTCTGGAAACAGCTTCATACAATCAAATGCACCAAATATATATCAGGTGGCACTGAAATTTGGGGCCCAGGATTTGCAAATATGTTTTAAATTAAATTGCCATTTGTGACTTAGGCCATTCCTTAAAAATCTGAGCTAATTTTATATGTATATATAAATATATATATGTATAGGTTAGCTTCTTACAAACTTCTTTCCTTTTCCTGCTGTATTAACTCTTTCCCACTTAACCAGTAATGTTTCCAAAGGATTTAGTGTTCTAAGCTGAAAGTTGCCTGACTGTGCAGGTTCTGGCAGTGCCTGTATTGGAAGGAGCTGTTAGGGTGTGCCTGGCCTGCCCCCCCTGGAGTGGTGCCGTGGGAGGGAAGTGGTTTGGGAGCTGTGAGTTTGTCACGGTGCTCTTTGACTTGATCTGGTGAAGATCCCCACGGACATTTCTGTCCTACAAAGAGCTGTGGGACCATGAACCAGCCTGCACAACCCTCATCTTGCAGCTGGTGGCAGAAGTCATGCAAAACAGGTAAGAAACACGGGAAAACTGGATCAGTGATGAGTACTGCAAGGGTGTGTGATTTCTGTTCCATTCTTATGTTTTGCTTATCCTCATGATGTCTGACCTTGCCTTTAAGGCTGTTCCTTTTGTACTTTGGAACAAAACTCACAAACAGGACTCAGTTTTCAGTGTCCTTGTGGTGTTGTACTGAAGTGGGAGATGGTACAAAATGAGCTGGTCAGGGTTAGTTACAGGAATATGTGAGAGACTGTTGTGATTTTATATCCAATGTTAGTGAAAGTGCATGCTTTAACCAGGGATAAATACTGACTACATAGTTAAATATCAGGAAATGTCTGCTGTCAAGGTGTGCTACAGGCAGAATTTCTTCCTAAGCCAAGCAGCACACATATGTGCCTGTAAAACCACAACTCCCTTCGCAGTTCCTTTTGCAACTCGACTCTTCCAGCCAAAAAAGGGAAAGTGTAGTATGTAGTACAGCAGTATTTATAATCAACATGTAGTGACACCTCCTGCATCTCAACTCTCCTCTGTGGGCTCACCAAAAGGGCCTCAGCATGATTTGGGACGTGATTTCAATACTTGACATTGCAGTAGTTAGAATAAAATTCCTGGTTTACCACAGGTAACAGATCAATTTATTTTGGGAAATAATCATTACACTCGGAAATATTTGGTATCCTGCCCAAAGGAAAAACAGATTTTTAAATGTAAAATTGATAAATAAAGTCTCTGTGTTGTGTATCTTCATGACCAAAGTAATTGGAATTTTCAGCAAGGAGGCATCGTTTCTCACTTTGCCTTGTAAGTCAAACTCACATGGAAAACGGTGAAATACTTGAAATTTGAAAAAAAAAAAAAAAGAGTTTAATCAAGCCACAGGAAACTGGTGTCTAAATGTTCAGACCTGGCTGCCAGTCAAACACCAGTGTGTAGAATGTGCACTTAGTCCCTGAGTGACTGCCTAAGCTGTAAGATAGAATCCCCTGTGTGGTTTGTGTTGACTTCCCTGCTGTGGCTCCCTCTTTGCTTTGTGTCGGCCAGTTAGGTATTTTATCCTGGTAGTAGTAGTGTAAAAGGTTAACCTGTTTTTATTTGCTTGTGCACTCTAATAGTGCTGCAGCTTATTTCGAGGAGGAGATTGTTAAAGCATAAACACAGAATTCAAGTAACGGTGAACAAAATCCAGGACGAACTAGTGCAGTAACTCTTAGGCAAGAGAGAGCTCTTCAAGCCACCTTCCCTGTTCATGTGTTCTCCTACCCACTGCTCTTCAGAGACTCTGCTTTGTTCTCTTTAGCAGACATCACCTGGGTGTTTGCACAAGCTGTATTCAAGCATTAGCTTGTACAGGTTGGGGTACATTACACAGTATACTGTGACACATTTAAAATATGTTTGAGAGTATCAGACTGTGCATTATGCCCCTCTGGTAGGGAGATAACGGGCTACTTTGGGGTTTCTGCCTCTGCCAGCCATTATCATTTTGTATGTATGGAATACACGGATGTTTTATAGCAGGGATGTTCTATTCATTCATAAACACCCAGATTTACTCTGGAGTTTGTAGCAAAGGACTCTGCAAATAAGGATTCAGTCACCAATAAATGAGACTTGCTGCAAAGAAGATTCATCCTGGTCTCTGGGATAGGGGAGACAGCAGAATGCACAGTTGATCAGAGGTAGATGAGACTAGGTAGGTCACAGAATCACAGAATATTCTGTATTGGAAGGGATACACAAGGATCGAGTCCAGCTCTTAAGTGAATGGCCCACACAGGGATGGATCCTGTGACCTTGGCATTGTCAGCTGTGCTTTACATCACTTAATGATGATTCCCTTCCCTTTCAGTCCAAATAAAGGCTAAGGGTGTTTCTCTAAAGTTACTTAGGACCTTAAGACTTATATTAGAAGTTAATTTTTAGTCCTGAACTAGGAGTTAGTCTTCCTTATCATAAAAACAGATCGGAATGAGGCAAAGGATCTTTGGCAAGGACTCTCTTGTGTTTCCAGATTGGGAATAAAGTGGTTCTTGTTGGCTTTGCTAGTACCTGTGATTTGGGTAAAACAACATGGAGCAGTCTTCTTCAGGTCTGAATGTTCCTAGAAAGCATCTGTTACAGTTTACATATGGAGAACTGCCCTGGGATTGCCACAGATGTTAGCTAACAAAATAACCAGTTGGGATTGGTTTATTTTTAAACCCTACAGATGAAAAAGCAGGCCAAAGTTAGCCTGACCACTTGGGTTATGGATTTTCTGAACTGTGTTCAGGCCACAAGGCATTCCCCAGACATGGAAAGCTGTGTATGTATTACCTGTCACCTTTCCTGGCTAAAATTGTTCTGTCTTTTGTCACAGGATTGTTACTCCAGCAACACATGGACTGAAAGCTAGAGTTAGTTTATCAAATAATTGTACTTTGTAATTGCAAATGTTGGGGATTTTCTTTTGTTTTAGGAATGAATCCATAGCAGTTTTGTGCTCTGATGACCATCTGAATATTTTTGCTGTTCTTTTTTAAATTGCAGGGTTTAAGTTTTGATGTATCATCTCCAAATGGAATTCTGCTCTTCAGAGAAGCCAGTAAAATGATTTGTAGGTATAGTAGGTATTCATTAACAGTTCCTCTGACTTGTAATTCTTTGCCTTGTGATATAAAATCCTGTTAGCTGCTGAGCACTGCTGGAGTTGTGGGATCTTAGCAGGTCTGCAATGCGCTGCCAGTGCCATTCCTTGGGAGCACAGAGCTCCCGGGGCAGCCCAGGGGGCTCTCGTCTCCTACCTCAGGGTTCATTCATGTACAACTGTTGCTTGTGTCACTTTTTTAACTTGAAGGCCTTCTGGCAGCTGCAAATGTGTTTCAGTGAAGACACAAATACTCATGAGGTGTTTGATCTAGGCTGCTGATAGATAGGTGTGGGTTGGTTTAATGTATTCAAATTATATTCCAACAGTTCCAAAACATAATAGGACTATAACAGCTTTACCCTGAAGCACTGTTAGAAGTATTTATAATAAGTTGCTGCATTTTACTACTCCCACTCATGAAGGCAACTGCAACAGGTCTCTGACACCAGCACTTTATATTACACTACAACTAACTTTGTAGCTGACAATTGTGCTTTCTAAATACTTTGAAAGGAACATTACCAAGTTTTTGTAGAGAAATGTCATTTGTAGTTCATGTAAACAGGAAGAGCCATAGATGGCCTGTTTCTTTTAAAGAAAGAAATTGGTGCATCAAATTTACTTTTACTGCATTCAGGTTGCTTTTTGGGTCTAAAAATTGCATGTTACAAAATTTGTTAGAACAATTAAGCAAAATAAAAATAGGATTTGAAAATGTATGAAAAGATAAAAAGTAAATCTTTAGATGATTAAAAAGAAATCAAATGTAGTCATGATGATGATTCAGCCTTGCATGTCTTATGGTACCTGATCCCATTGCAGACATATTTTCCTTTTTAATTTTTTATTTTAATTTATTTCATTCAGCTTTTGTCATCCTTTCTGCACTTAGGAAAAACATAACTATATTACTGGGCATTTATTCAGCTCAGTTGTTGGCATCAAGTTTCTAAACCTTGCTGAGTAAACCAAATGAGTTGGTTTCAACCTGCTTAATTTCTAGTTCATGCCTAAAAAAACCCACAAAAAAACCTTTGTAAAAACCCATTCAGCTTTCATTTACAGCTTTTATGGTGTGTATGTGAAGTTCATAAAATTCTCAGCCTTAAAGTATTGGTAACTCTTGCACAAAAGGACCAGACAACATTTTCTGACTCGTGCTGGGATTTAATTGTGCAACACAAAAGGGGTTCTCAGCCCAGTGCAGATCTAAGAGTTAGAACCAAGCAGCAGAGCTGTGGAGCCATGTCCAAACTCCTGTCACCCTCTTCATTAAATTATGTGAAAGATCCTTAGGAATGTGTAGCATCTCCCCAGAGATGTGTGCCACAGAAAGAACTGAAGTGGCCATAGAATTGTAGACTGGGTGGGGTTGGAAGGGACCTGTTAAAGGTCACCAGTACATCCCCCCTGCAGTGAGCAAGGATATCTTCAGCTCCATCATTCCATAAGAGCTTTCTCTCATGCTTCTATTCCATGTATTTCATAACTGTTTTCCTGTGGAAGGATGTGACTCAGCACAGGTTTAAGAGAACTGTACTTAATGTGCTCCAGAAGAAACCTTTAAAATCAGCTATCAGTTAAGAGTGGAGAAAAGATGGAGATGTGGGAGAGAGCCTCCATTCAGTAGCTGGGGGGGGGGGTATTTTGCTTTTAAAGCACATGCGCGTTGCTGTCAGCGTCCAAAAGGGGCCCATCAGTGATCCTTCCTCTGCTTAGGTGTGACATTTAGAGATATTCTTTAGGGTTTCTGTTCAGTGGTTACCAGTATTTATCCCAGGACTGGCCTCTCTGGAGAGTCCCTGTGAGCCCTTCAGTGGGAGCAGGGGTTCCTCAGGATGCAGCTGGCTCTGGAGGCACAGCTGGGAGCATGGCCTGGCCAGCCCCTGCTCAGCTCTGGGCGCTGCAATGAGCTCAGCCCTGTGTCACTGCTGCCCCTGCTGCTGAAGGCTCACTGCCTCACACTCTGGGAACGTTTTACTGCCCACTATGAGTATTTCAAGATGCTACAACTGATCAGCTTTGAATAATTGCTGTTAACATTTTGAGCTTTTATCACCAAGTAGTAGTTTATGAGATTTTTGTTCCAGTGTACAGAAAGATGTAACTTCTGGAAATCAACTGTAGGGATTCATTAATTATGTATGATCTTTTGAACATACAAATTCCTATAAAAATACTGATATAAAGGGATTTTGCATTCTTTTTAAATGCGTTCTTGAAAATCTTTAATAGTTGTTCTTTTAATGAAAACTGTAATCCATAATACTCTATGCCCTTTTTAAAATTTATTTGTCTTTTAAGCCTGGGTAATCTTGGCAGACATCTGAGGAAAACTAAACAAGTAAAACAAATGATGATCATAAAATTCTGTTCTTGAACAATGTTTCCAGCCCCAGAATTTTCCAGTTCTGAAAAATTGTGTGATTCAGATAAAAGAATTAATCCATACATGCCTTCTAATCCTTGGGCTCAGTTTTCAAGTCTCCTTCTGTACCATTCCTGCAAGTAACTTAAAATTGCATAAATAGTTGAGATTTTCTCACTCAGCATGATTTTATGGCTGAAGCATTAGAAGAGAGAACAGAAGATGCAGCAAATGTCAGGAGATGACAACAGACAGTATGTGCCCATTTATCTTACCAAGTCAGACAGACCTCTTGTATATGCCTGCAGCTTATGATGAGCTCCTCCGAGCTGATCAAAGAGACACTTTAACTCAGAATAGATTTGACTGAAATTTATATGATAATAATTACCTTTTTAAACTGAGAGAAACACAAAGTGATGGCATGAGGCAGAGGGGGATAAATAGAAGTGAACATCACTTTCTGTCATCACACTGTCCTTGTGAGAAGATCCTTCCTTTCAGTCTCTGTCTCAGTCCACTGACCAAGTGGATTGCTATAGACTCTGCCCAGGCTCCTCTTATCCCTGAGAAGTTCTTCTTTCCACCACCTGGATACCTGGCTGTGTTTGCTCCTCTTGGCAAACTCCTGTCTGAACATCAGGCTTCCAGCTCTGCTCTCACCTCTCCTCCTTACTGTGCCCTTGACAGTGAGAGTTTCCAGCCTCTGGCTCTGTAGGGAAAGACTTGGTCCCTCTCCTACAGACAGCCTAGCCTGGCTGTTCCTTTTTTTGAGAAGAACATAACATAAATCAATAAACAAAAATATGGCTTAATTGTATTGTGCTTTCATTGGGAAGTGAAATTTAAATTTGTTTTAGAACAGGATTTTTCCTCCTCTCTCACATGTAATGATATACAGAAAATGCACGTAAAAGTATTTACAGAGATTTCATTCGCACCAAATAAACCACAAAAATGTCTGGTTAAGTCATAAGTTAACTGGGAGTTTTCTTACTATGTAAACCTACAGGTACATAAAAATGTGATCTGAGATATGCCTCTGTCCAGTCAATACTTAGACAAGGAATTAGTGTCTGAAGTGAGGTGGCATCAGGTGATTCTTCTCACCCACATCAGGGCACAGTGGTGATTGCTGACATCATTCTTCCTAAGCCTGGATTACACCAATCCAAGCAGTTTTGGATAACACACAGATACTTCACACATATTCTTCAGGTGATGAAAATCAGCTAGAATTTATATGTGGCTTTGTTCTATGTGGGAAATTACTGTGGAAATGACTCTGAAACAAACATTTGGTCATCTAGTGTGCCACTTTCTTTCCATCTTCAGTTTTGCCCAAGTTTGTGATGTCTATTTGTGTCTGAGTGGTACATCCAGTTCCTTTCTCTATGAGCTGTGAGGTCTGTGCTTGGGCTGAAAATAGAAGGAGAAGAAAAAGGTAGAACTGTGTTGAGGGTGGGAATGTAGGCAATAGCTTGTGAGTATGGATGCTGAAATCTTTAATGCTAGATTAAAGCGTAGCCTCTTTTCTCCTTAGACTAGCATATAGGGGTTTCATATATTTGAGTGCAAATCAGAAATAAAATCCACAATGCTGATTTTTAAGATATGCTAAGTATTGTCAGTTGTCAGGGAATAAAATTTGAGAGATGAATTTTTTTGTAGTTTTGAAAAGGAGCACTTCAGCGAGTGTTTAGTTCTGCTGTGTGATCAGTGTGTCCTCTCCTGCTCATATATCACTGATACAGTGCTGCAGACAGGTCTAAGATGCCTTTGCAAATGCTATCTGTTCAAAAGATGGGAAGCCTGGCGTAGGAAGCACTTAGTCAGACAATTATCCTCGTTGGGGCTCCACAGCTTCTTGGCAAGGGCTGTTGTGTCTTATCCATTACGGCTGGAGCTGGTCTGAGGGAGTGATAGAGTGATTTAAAATAAATATCTGAGAGGAGAGAATTGAAAGGAGTTGGAATAGTGTAGTTCCCTATTCTTCATCCCCAATATATTTCACTTTTAATTCTGCATGTAAAAGTCTCCTTACTGTATGTTTTTGAACTCCCAGTGGTATAGGAACGATGCAATGCATGTTGGGACCATCCATTTTTGTTTTGTGGTTTCTTTACATTTTAGTAAACCTCTTCCCTTTCATTAGAAGAGGCTGACATAAAAATAATATTTTCAATATGCTGTTTTTATTTATCTACATTCTGTCATGATGTACTTTGATGTAAGTTTTTAATTTTGCTTCAGCTTTCAGCTGCTGTAGCAGTTACTGCTCAGGGTCAGCGATGAGGTTAGCCACAGTAGCACAAAACAATTTCCTGTGCTCACAGCCCAGGTAGCATTTGGATGTGGATTAAATTTTACCACATTTTCCAGCAGCCAGACACAATTATTTCTAATGAGCTTTAAATTGCTTCCATAACATGTATTTCAAAACTTAGTGTGGTAATCCATTCAGTGCCAACTTCATAAGATAACGAGTCTTCTTCAAAATTTTGGTTAAACTGATTCTTGCTGTCTAACAGGTATTTCTCAGCAGCAGCTGAGCTTGACAGTGGAGTGCTCAGTGCTCTCAGCTGTGTTGTCTGCCCTCCTCTCTCCTGTGACAGTGGTTCCAGAATATATTGCACTTCATTACGGACTCATGTTTTGGAATCAGTTTCTTTTGGCAAATTTACCTTGGGCGTGCTCATTGGGCTGATTTGAGAGGGTTTATGCACATTTTGTTGTTGTGGAAGCTTTAAAAAAATCATTTCTTGAAGCTCTCATCTTTATAATTCACGTTTTCCTGTTTTGTCTGGCCCCTTCTTTGCACTGCCCAGCATTCCAAATGCCTAGAAGGTGTATGTTCAACCATCTTTATGGGTAGTGGTGAATAATAAAAATAGGAAAGGGGAAAAGGCAAAAACCACTTTTCTCTATAAATGTGATACATTTTCACAACCTTTGTTTAATCTCACCAAAGTCTTTGTCTAATTCACACATGTTAAAATATGATTTAGTTGTATTATTATCTAAAGTGCTTATTGGTCTGAAGTCTAGAACAAGCCCTGCTGAAATGAAACTCAGCCATAAGGAAATCATTTTGTGTTATAGCTTCTCCTGTAAAAGCAATTAAGGAGGAGAGCTGAAAGGAAAGCTGTGTGTCCTGACGTGCTCCCGTGTCTGGGGGGGAGTGAGAGAAGGAGCTGGGAGGGCCCTGGAGTGCTGAGCTGTGGGGTGCTGAGCCGTGGGGGTGTTCTCTGCGGGCAGAGCAGCCCAGCCTGCTGTTGGCTGGCTCAGTACTTCCCTCTGCATATGCACACTTCTTTTTTTCCAGCTCCTTTGGTTGTACTAAGGAGTCTTTCAGTGATTAACTCATTAAAATTCACAGCCAAATTCAAGACTATATTTCCTCTCCAGCAGTTTCACCAATATCTTTAAAAATCCTTTTCTTATTCCTGTCAGAATTTTGTATCACCTCTGAGGCTCAGAGTACACAATTTTTGTGAGTGACATTGCTGTCAAATGCAGGGCAAAAAGTTGGATTAAAGGAAATTATTGAGAATTTTGAAAGTCAGTGTGTTTTAAGATTGTGTGATGCAATTTCTCCCACATTAAGAAGAAATTGATGCAAGCTGGATTTTTTTGTGTGATTTTTAACTCAGTAGTAACACTGGGACTGCCCTGATTAGTCTCTACAGAGTTTTCATTTTGACAGGAGCTATGGATTTCAAACACAATTTTTAAATTCAACATGTCAAATGTCACTTTTGTGTTGATTTAATTTCTTCAAATTGTTTCTTTTAACAATAACAGTTTATAAAAATATATTTTGGTCTTCCACTACAGGGATTATAAATGTAAGCGTATCCTCAGTAGCTGAGGAGTTGTTCTTGACCTGATTCCAAGTGCCTCAGTAAATTAGTTTATGTTCAGTAGTATCCATAGTGTGTAAAAATATTCCCCTGAAGCTCTTGCTAAATGTTGCAAGTAGATCATTGTTTTTTTATCTAGTCAAGGATGGCACTTTATTTCATATTTTTTTTCAATAACTAATGCTAAACCACTACTGTGTTGGAGCACTGCAACCTCTGCATCGCGCTGGGACCCGGCACCGCCTGGTCTTTCACCTCTGCTGCTCATTTGAAATCAGCAGTTCCCACTCTTAAGCCCTTTTAAAATGAGTCCATTAACACAGCACAGTTCTCTGTGTACTCTGTCCACTTGCAAAAAACAGCTTTTAATGGCACGCTAGACCCAAACTCTGCTCAGTGTTTCACTGAGGAGGGACAGGCCTCGAATTCCCCCACTGCCAGGGCTGGGCCTTCCCACAGTCAGTCCTTTGTGCTCATCAGTGGGTTTTAATTATTGGGTGAGGCTTTAGTGAAGTAATAAAAATGATGGAGTATGAACACTAGTGGATACCTCCTAGAATTCATGTTCCCATGCTGAGGGACTCCTCAGGTTTTTCCAGCTTCTTTCCTCATCATCCATTTTTCACATTGAATTCCAGTTAATTTCCATATTAAGTACATAATTGCCTTCTTGACAAACTACTAAGCTCTTGCCATCTGTTGTTGCTTATTACAGCAAGTACTTGACTGACCAGGGACTGTAGGATGTCATGCTTGGACAGCTCAGCTACAAACCCAAGGCTGTTCCTTTCTTGGATCCAGAACTTTGGCCATTTCTGAAGCCAGGTATGTGTTTGTGTTAATGAAGTTGGGATTTGCAGCAGTGAATTTAATAGTGAAGACCAGCTCAGGTTAGTTTACAGCACTCTTACCTTTCTGTCCCGTTTGTGCCCTGAGAATTGTACCATTCAACAGTGGTTTCCAAAAACAGTGTGTGCCTTCCCACTTGATCTCACAGACAGAATTTTGTATTTCATTTTATTTTTTTCATAGAATTTGGAATTCACAGATTTTTCTCAATAACTAGAACAGGACTTGTCAAAAAGGTTAATGCTAATTAAGATGATCTGTCTAGGATATATTAAAATACTGCACTGTGCAAAGCTAAATGGAATTTAATTTTTTGTAAGTGTAATTTCGCAGTAATGTAAAGTATTAAAATAATATCCAGGTACACTAGGAGACTTTCTTATTTTTCTGCTATGTTTTTACTTTTGAAAGATGTTTTGGATACCAGTCCTGTTTAGTATAACAGAGATTTAACACCATTTGGAGCTAATTACTGTGCATCACCAGTCACTTGGATGGTACCTCTTCCCCAGTTACACTGCAGCATTTGGGTAAGAGAGGTGCTCGCATGACCATTTACAAATGTCAAAACCACTCTATATTCTCATTAATAAATTTTTTGTTGTTTTATTAAGAAGGCTTGATTTTGATTTTGATTTTAAGTGACCACCTTTCCTAGCTAAATATTTGCTTTTCTTTTCCCTTCCATAATTCTAATTCACCATTCTGTCTTCTTACAGACCCTAATTTCTTCTTTTATGCAATCCCCAATCATGCTCCCAGTCTTTTTTTGTAAATCTACTTTTCCTTTACAACCTGATAGATAAATTACCTTGTACTTGCTAGAAGTGGTGAAAAACATGAATGTTTTAAGCAGTAACTTATGTCTTTCCATTCTTGCATCAAATGACACCAAATGGGTGGTACTTTGATGCATTAGGTGTTTAGAAACAAGATTTTTCCCCCTCATTTTTCTAATTATATGATGTAAAGTCATCATTGCTGATAATCAGTAGAATTAAGGAAAAGAATTAAAATGAGTTAGGAAGATGATGTGCAAGTGGAAATTTGCATGGGTAGAAAGGAGAGCTGTGTAGTGACTGACCCAGTTTAATATTAGGCTTCAATATGTCCTAAATGATACTACATCTGTGCCATCTCAGGCAAGGTTTTAGGGCATTCTTTTAATTGCCTCAAATCAAAACTGCACCATCATAACTCCCTTTCCCAGCTGGCAGTGTTTGGATTGTAAACACGTAATGCTCACTTTTCTCACTGCTCCTTGATCCAAGTTGAGATCAGAGCCAGGACAAGGCGATTACACACCGAGAGCAGACGAGTCAAATGTCTCGTTTGTTGTGCTGTTGATTATAGGAATGTTTTTTAAAATGTACAGCTCTGTGTTATTTTCCACTAATTAAAATTACCAGGAATGATGAGTAGTAACAAAGCAAAGACCTGGCACTTGGGTTCTGTGCAGGCCAAGCCTGTCAAGATTGGCATCAGGTGGGGTGGGCCGAGCCAGGCTGCGTCACGGCAAGACAAGTGCCTCGGTTTGCTGGGCTCATACCACTTGTTTTGCTCACTGTCATTAATTGCTTCAGGTTTAAAAAAACTGTCAGGAAGACAAACTCACTCTGGGGTGCTGTGTAGATGAGCTTTAAGTTGTTATAAAGATACTTAGAAAACTTGGTAATGAGACCTTGTGAACATGGAGATTTGTACAGGGGATTGCAGTGGGTTCTGCTGCATGGTGGGTCCAAAGTTACTATTGCCTGTTAATAGCAACAACAAATATTTACCAGTAGCTGTTATTTTTACATTATAAACATGGAGTTGAATTAAAAAGTTTTTCCCATCTGTGACTGGTAAAATAGAGGCTTTTGTAATGAACATATTTGTTTTCTGAGGAATATATTTGGTGTGTGTATACACTAGCAAGCATCCCAAGAGAGCATTATGGTAATGGATCAAAACCAGGCTTTGCTGCAGCTTGAGAAACTATAAAACCATGTTTTGCAACTCTGTTCAGATTAAGGAATTCATGCTCATAGACCCAGTCATGATCTGGCCGTACGTCAATAATAGGAATTCCAGAGCTGTATTTTAAATTTTGCATACTAATTGTTTAATGACTTTTAAGTTGTAATCATGCTTACTTAACAGATCTTTTACATCAAATGCAGAAACAATTTTTCTTCCAAATAGTAATGAAAATAAAGACAAAAATAATTTTAGATATTGCCATCAAAATATTTTAGATTTGCAGCTGCTTATTTAAGTTTCTTTCTTTCTTTCTTTCTATGAAAACAGCTAATCAGATCCTCTCTGTTGGGACTTTGTCAAAAGATCGGGTTTATCCATTGAAACTCAAGGGCATTTCCATCTGTTACTCTGCCTTATGTGGAAATTCTGTCAGCTTCGGCATCTTCAAGTTGTACAGGGACAACCACTTTGACAATGTACTTCAGGCCTTTGTCAAAACGCTGCTTTCAGTATCCCACAGTGACCTGCTAGCAAGCAATTTCTCATCTTGGGAGTCTTTATGTGAAACGTGAAATAACACCACCACAGGCTTTGTATTGGTATAATGAGACAGAGGGATCCGGAACAGCTCAAACAGAGTTTTCAGTTCAATTACTTGAATTTATTTATATAGTGACATCTGAAACACAGGTATGACTGAAGTGCCTTGTGAAATGGGAGCTTTTCCAGAACTCTCACTAGGCTTGTAAAAGAGAGAAATGCAGGGGTTTTTTCCCTTTCTATACTCGCAAACCCATTTCATTGTCTGCGTGCACTGTAAAGCATCCTCATATATCCGGCTACTCAGCAATTAGTTTCAATCTGCAAATTGTCACCGTGTATTCCCCATAAAATGGAAAAGTTTAAAGTATACCATATTCCCACTTCTTTATGGGAAGACAACAGATCTAGAGTAATATCAGCCTGAATTTGAACTGGGCCTTTTTCTTCATGATTCTTTGGTTCAGAGCTGTCACTGTCTTGCAGGAAGGGACAAATCTGGGATAATTAAAAATTGTTAATACCCAGATTTATTTTTACCACATAAAGAAAGTCCATGGAAGTGAAAAGTTGCTCTGAATTAAAGTTGGTGTATTGGCCTAACTGCACATTCCCAGCTACCCAACACTTAATTCCCGAAACAAGAGTCCTTAAGAGGAAAATGCGGGTTGGATTGGGCTGATGCGTTCAAGCAGGTGTCTTTGCCTGAGCAAAGGCTGTTATAGGAGCTCACATAAGCAGCAAAAAAAGTCTATCTCTGAGATGGTTTGGGGAAATCCATGATAAATCTTAGTGAGATTTCCTGCAGAAGGTCAGCTATACCCAGAGTCCTGGGCAGAACATTATCCTGCTCCTCCCAGACTGACAGCATGTTGGATGGTGAAGCACTGTAGCATTTTTGGACTATCCTGAGCGTATTTTAAACTGATAGCAAGTTACATCCAATGATAAATTTGAAAAGTTGAAATCTACTGAAGACAGGAAAATATTTTAGCTCTATAAATGTTCTGATTCATTGACTAATTTTAAATTTATCATATCATAAAATCTCTAAGATCATTCTTCTGTCATCTGTTAATGTTAACATTAGTCAGTGGTAATATCTGTATTTTCTATGAATGTATACTCTTTTTTTCAGCAATATCAAAAGCCAGTCTTATTACCCACTTTTGACATGTCTGACCCAAGATCATATGAGTTTCATTACCAGTTTGGAACCTCACATCTTATTCTGACCTCAATATCTGAAGGACTTACTGCAGTAGGTAAGAATTACTTACACTTGGCTAAAGGAAGGATTCATGTATTTAGGTATCTCAGATTTTCAAAGCAGCACATTCATTTATATCTTTAAAAAGTTAATATCAAGGGACAGTGGAAAATGCTGGCATTTGAACATGTAAAGAATGTGACTATTTTAGTTACTAGAACTAAGTTCTTTTAAACCTGTAGATTTTTACAGATAGTGTTTTTAAATATTCTTTTCTTACAAGCCTGAATTGTTAAAATTATTAATGTGCCTCCACTAGAATTGTACTGAAAATTCATGCATTTGTTATTCAGAAGTAAAATATTAATGTATGTACAAGTATCTGTGGGGTTTTGTTTTTATTTGATCAGCATGGCTGTTGTATAAATAACACTTGTTCTGCACAGCTGTGATGTGATTTGAGCAATGTAAAGGTATCTGCCTGTGGAAAAAAGAGACTTGTTACTCAGTACTTCCTGAAAACGCTTTAGAGGAGAATCAGAGTCGGGGAAGGATACTTGGAGTATGATACAAATACAACAGTCTGATTGCAATTCATTTAATTCACTTACACTGTTTAATTTATGCTTTTGAACCAGATAACTGTTCAAACATTTGGGGTTTGGGCAGGGAGGTGATAGTCTAAAGTAATTTGGAATATGGAGAAGGAAAACAGCATTTGTGGGAAATAAAAATGAATCATGCAGTTACATTCTGGTCACCGAGGAATACCATGCACAGTTTTTGACTGGGAAGCTATTCAAAACTTTGAGTTGAATTTATTGATTAGGCCATTATTAGGGGGAGAGAAATAGGCATGTAGAACATTAGTGTGTGTAGATGTTCTTGTGTAATAGGTGGTGTTGCTCATCCCTGCCCAGTGCCGGTCAGGCCCCGCAGGAATGAAGGAAGCCACTGAGGCTCACGAGCACTCATGTGTCAGCACATTCAGCAGTTTGTGAGAGCCTTCTGAGAGGAGATGGGCACTGAACAGCTGAGTAGCAGTGCTGAACAAGTATTCAGGTCATTCTGTTATGTAACACCGAAATCCATCCTGTCCCAAATATTTTGGGTGCTTTGTCACCATTCTGCCCATGGTCTGGTCCTGCTGGGAGCCCACCTGTTGCTGGGCTGCAGGTGGATATACTGCACTGAACCTTGGCTTGGCCAACAGCTGCCAGTTCAGCTGATCCTGGGCTCTGTCATCCTTCACATCTCTTCCACTTGAGAGACTGGTTTTGTTCATTTTTATAATTCATTAGCATACCAAGTTTAATTACCCATCTCTTTGAAACTCAAACTGAACTAATGTAAAAGAGAGAGAAGAAAATGTAAAAGCTAAATAAGTTTTAGCTTTCAGATGTTCTGTTTATTCTCCCCTCTCAAAAAGAAAGGAGGAGTTTGAAAAGTATGTCTTTCCAGCTTTAGCTTCGAACTTTTGTGGTTTAGGTACCTAGGCATTTAATCATGGAGAATTACTAATTTTTTAGGAACATCTTAGCTAACTTGTATTCTGTAGAATTCCTAATATTCTGCTGAGAAAAGCATCAGCAAAACTTTTAACAGCTTACTTTTTCATATTTCATAGGCCATAGATTTGTTTAGCCAATGCTCTCCTTCAGTTCATCTCAATGTCCTTAATGCACCTAAAATAAATACTAATAAACAGAGGGTGGAATGCCATCCTTGGAGATATTCCTAGATACTGGACAAGGTCCTGAGGAACCTATCTGGTGCTGACCCTGTTTTTGACAGGAGGTTGAATGGAGGATGGTCTCGTTTGGTTTCTGCCTCTGTCTTTAGGATCCTATGGGTATTTTTCACTTGTATTCGCTTCTGTCCAAACTGCCTATGCAGCCTCTAATCTTTGGAAGGTCTCTCACACATTCTGAGTAGTACTTGATGGTTGATGAAAAGCTCGCCATGGGCTGGCAGTGAGCACTGGTAGCCCAGAAAGCCAACAGAAAGGAGCGTGGCCAGCAGGTCGAAGAAGGGGATTCTCCCCCTCCATTCTGCTCTCCTGAGACCCCACCTGGAGTGCTGTGCACAATTCTGGTGCTCCTAACACAAGAGGGCCATGGAACTGTTGGAGCAAGGCCAGAGGAGGCCACAAAGTTGATAAGGAGACTGGAGCACCTCCCCTACAAAGGCAGGCTGAGAAAGTTGTGGCTGTTCAGCCTGGAGAAGATTGTGTGGGACCTCACAGCACCTTCCAGTGTCTGAAGGGGCTACAGGGAAGCAGGAGAGGGACACTTTGTCAGGAACTGTAGGGACAGGACAAGGGGAAATGTGTACAAACTGAAGGAGGGAATATTTAGATTAGATATTAGGCAGAAATTCTTTACTGTGAGGGTGGTGAGACACTGGCACAGGTTGCCCAGGGAGGCTGTGGATGCCCCAACCCTGGCAGTGTTCAGGGCCAGGTTGGATAAGGCCTTGAGCAACCTGGGATAGTGTGATGTGTCTGGGACTGGATGGTCTTTAAGGTTCCTTCTAACCCTTAACATTCTATGATTCTATGATTCTACTTAACTTCCCACAATCAGTCAGCTGAAAAATGCTTCTTTTTTTTCCCTTTCCATCTTGGAGTGATAAAGTGATTATTTTTCCTTTATATCATGTTTCTTAATACTGCGTATATCAAGAATTGATATGCAAGCCTGCCATTAAATTCCTTATTTGTGTTAAAGAAATTTTATTTTCCATACTCCTATAATGACATGTCCAGAAGAATTGCTCTTTGGCTCTTAATGTTAATTTACTTGTTTTTGATCATCTCAAGAGTTATTTACCTACCCTTTATCCCTCTTAAAATGTTGGTATTTTTGACATTACCAACTGTCAGACTTTGAAATATAAATTTATTTCCTGTGTGTTATTTGGTCACATACATCCTTCTGCCCTCGGAAAATGGGTAAGTAGATCCAAGCATTGCTTTTTTCACTGAATTGTATCAGTGCCACAAGAACGTCTCAGAATAGTAGGGCTTAGGGCTATAAGCCATCTGAGGGGAAATTGTGTTTTAAACTGATTAGAACATAGAAGTCATTTTCAGAAATGTTTATAAAAATTAAATAGCTGTCTTTTTATTTTAAAAATTAAATGCCAGGAGATCACTTCTCTTTCACAGAAAACAGTATATGACGTTTTTTCTCTATTCTCTTTACGTATGTGAAACCTTTGAGACTCTCATTGTTGTCAGCTGTAAGACAAACAGTCCCCAAATCCTTTTTTCTGAGGAGTGTTCATTCTGTTGCTGAGTAAATACCTTGCTTGATTCCTCACTTTATAAGCACTGTGAAGGAATATGTATTCCTTCTGAGGCACCTCACTGTAAATCAGCTGTAATGGGAGGATAAACGCTCCAATAGTTCCCTTCCAAAGTGTTTACCTGGCTTTTTCACAGCTGACTCAGTGGATCAGAGCCTTTTAAGGCAGTCTGCCTGGCATGTTGTCACTAATCTCTGCAAAACTTTTCAAAGTCTCATATGATTAATAGTATAGTATGCTATTCATTGAGGAAAAAGTAAAACATTTTTTCTGTCTTGCTGCCTAATTTAGATATTAAATGGTTAAATCTATTTACTTTCCAGGTTTAGTCTCAAAGGCAAAGAATGCCAGTATTGAACTATAAGCAGTTGATGGACACAGAAAATATCATTTAACTCCCTGTCCTTGCCCTTATTTGAAAAACAAAACAAAATCTTTTAATTTGCACAGATTCAGCTGTGCAAATGTTGTTAAACTGTTGAAAAGCAATTCCCTTTCTGCTTGCTGTTGTCATATTGCTGAGACCAAAAGTCATCCTCAACTCTTCTGGGGCTTCTGTTGGCTTTTCTAAAATAATCTAATCCACTCTAACATACATGCTCAACTTAAGCTAATGGCTGATTGGAGTTGCATATATAAGGCAAAACCACACAGATAACAATAAAGTACATGTAAGGTTAGTCCTCAAACATGAAATGAATGGCAAAGGATAAACCCCAAGAGCTAGTGACTGGTGCCAGAGTCATCATCCATGTCCTCTACCTGTCACCAACCCCCCCTTGCCATCAGGGAGGTCCAGAGAGCTGTTTTGCTTGACAAAGCTGCTGAACTGTTGCTGAGCCCATGCTGGCACACACAGAGCTGGTTGTGGTGTTTCTGTAAATTATTCGTTCACAGTGATGGAGCTGAGTCGACCAGAAGCGAGAAACACGGTTTGACTGCATTTTTCCTGATTATCCCAAGCTTTTATCTCAGTTTCTTTTATAATTCTATCTTTATTCTGTCTTCTCACCCATTTATCTGTCCATAGCCTAGAACTGGTAGCTCCTCGTTGCTCCTGTTTGTTCTTTTTATTTAGTTGGCTTGTCTCACTAAATCTTAGTGAGAACACTATTCTGCCCAGCACAGGGTTCCACATGCCCAGAAGAGTCATTCAAGGGAGTTTGCTTGACACTCCCTGTCTGCAATCAAAAGGAAAAATGAGCATAGGGAGCATATTTGATATATAGTTATGGGCAAATTTAAGTAGCTCTTAACACTCATATCAGATTCTCATGAGCAAATGATAGTGTGGACCTGTCTGCTGTCCTGCTAAAATCACTTACTGTCAAATGTAAAATACCTACTTGTACAGTATCAGCATGTTTAGAACTACTGCTGTTTTGTAAACTGATGATAGTGATTTACTTTGTATTATTCAATTTAAAAAGAAATAGAGTTAAGCACTGGTTAGGAAATACAGCAGAACCCTCCTATGAAATATGTATTTTCAAATCTCTCTCTTGTTGTTATTGATGGTGATTCAATTCCACCATGAATTGCATTTCTAATTTATATGCAGGACTATTTGAGTTGAGAATATGGTAGTGCTGCCTTTGCTTTGGCAAGACTGACAGCTTTGAACTCAGCTTTGCTCCAACAATGTCTCGCCCTCCTGCCTTGTTGGGTTCAGCCCTCGGAAGCTCACCAGTCCTGTGGAGACAGAGCTGAGATGCTCCAGCTCATTTCTGTGAGCTGTTAGATCACTCCCAGCTCTGGCTGCTGAGTCAACTGGTTGCTCTGGAAGATCAAGCCTTAGGCCTTGTGTCTTCTCTGCCTGTAAATGTCCCTTGAGTGTTCCTTCAAAACACCCTTAGCAAGATGCAGTTAGGATTTCAATGGTGAAGGGTTAATAGTGTCAGCACAGAGCTTAAGGAGTTAAACAGACACTGATCAAAATACTTCAGAGTCTAGAGGGATGTGTTTAAATGAACACTGCAAGGTTGGCAGGCCTCCAAATTAGCATGGTTTAAAGAATTCAAGGTACATTTAATTGGATCCTTCTAATCCCTTTTCCCTTAGAATGAGCATTTTAACAGTTTAATTCCTCTTGCAACCCCCACATCCCTTACTCCAGTGGCCCATCTAAAATAAATACTGTGAACTATAAAAGGCCTAGACAAGTTCTTGCTGAAGCCGGTGGCAACAGGATGTAGTCCTCAACACTCCAATCATTTGGATCTGATCTTTGGAATTGCAGAGAATATCAGATAGGGCTAAACCTTGCACCCAGCAGTGAAGATGCTGCATGTATGTAAGGAGCTTCCATCAGCTGGTGTTGGGATGGAGCCGCCAGTGGTCAAACGTGTGGCCCTGGCCAGGATAACAGAACAGGAGCTGGGAGACAGCACAGGGGTCCATGTCCAGTTTCCCAGGGAGTCCCTCAGTGCCAGGACAGAGGAAACAGCCCCTGGGCAGGGTGAGGTGCCCTGCTGTTTGCCAGAGGAAGTTCGAGAGGAGCCTGCATGAGAACCATGGGCCAGGACACTGGTTTTAATGTATTTAAACTGTATTTAATGTACTTTAACCCACTTGAATTACGGTTGTTAAGCAAAATTACTAACTGGCTGTTTTGTGATGACCTTTTTACTGTCCTTAATGGCCCTCGTTCAGTGTTGGACACCTGGCATGGATTTTAAGATCCTTGGGGCAGACAAGAACAGTGACACACTACTTGAGAAAAGCTTGGACAGCAGCTCTATTTGGTTTAACCTTGTCTTCTCAGTAGGGAGATCAAACCAGAATTTTAGTTTCCAGGAATCTGGAGTCTTTTGGATGTGAAGCTGAATATTAGTAAAATGTTAGCCCTCATCCTGCACTTCCCAGTACACAGAGGGGCCGCTGTATTTACAGCTGCAAAAGACAGTCACTGGAGTTACATAATCCTTCGTTTATGGAGTTACCAGTCCCCCAACAGCAAAGTTTAATACCACTGTTCCTTAGTAAGAGCAGTCTTCAAAGCTAGTCAGCCTGTGTGTTAAACTGGACTTGTCAATTTATCAGTTAGCCAAAGAGAGTAAATGTTGAGCTCTCCAAGTACTTTAAAATGTCATTATTAGTTATTCTTTTATAGAAACAATTTCAAAACTGTTTCATTTTTTACACAGATATGATTGACTCCTCCAGCTGTTGTGCTGTTTTAGATTACATTGTCACCTACCTCTTCAGGAACCTTGCTAAAGACAAGATTCTCATATGTACATATGTATTATATATTACATATAATACATATGTATTATTACATTTCTGAATTTTCCTGATTTTTTGTGGTACTGAACACCAAGGTAGCATTGGCTATTTTGGGACAGAACAAACCTCCCTATGCTGGTATGCAACCCTGAGTAGCTTCAGCCATGTTCTCATGACAAACAAAGACTGGAGGTATTTTTTACCGTACTGAACAATGTAGTGTGCTTGGCTGTACAGTATGTTACAACTTGGAGTTTCATTTTTGCTCATAAAAAAGGTGTGTGAGATCATCAATACATTTCTATAGACAATTGGGAAGGAAAGTCTCTGAAGTATTTTAGGAGGACGAAGAAAAATTCTGGCATTGAACCACACATTTTGGTAATGAAATGTGTAAATTGAATGTATACTGTCAAGTTTGAGTGTTTTATTTTGCAGTAGGTGACTCTGGTATTTTTTTCTATTACAGGTAAATGCAATAGAAATTAAATCTCATGCGCCTGAAAAGGAAGTGGCCACTGTACTGCTTAGGAGAGATTGCCCCTTCCCAGCTCCCCCAGGTTTTCCCCACCCTAGTACATTACAGGGAGATCAGGATGTTCATAGCTACAGATCCCCACATTTGCTCTGTGCCACATGCCTTTAAAATCTCATTAAACTATTTGAAAATGTGTATTTACAAGCATCTCTGAATTCCTAATGCCATTGCAGAGATGCTCTTTAAGAAGGTGTGTTTCACAGGCCAGGAGGCTTTTAATGGAAACGGAAGTTATTAACAAAACGCAAATGACTAGTGTGGTCATCTTCGTGTTTCCGTAAGAGGTAGGAGTCATTTGGAAAAAGCTTGACATACAGTCAGCTCCTGTTGGTATTTGCTTGCTATTCTAATCAAAGGTGAAAAAGAACAAGTGGTAGCTAATATATTCCTGGCATTATATTGTGAGAATATTAATGATGTTTATTATTGATGTCATTATCAGAATATGATGATTCCTGTGTCCTATCACAGGTTCTTATGTTTTACATGACCAGTAGGGGTTTCATGGAAGCAGCAGTGAGCGGTGGGGTCTGTCGGATTGGTCCGTGCTATGCCACGTGCCATGATTGAAGGGAAGGGGCAGGGCACAAGCTGGGCTCTGGGCTGCCCTCCATTTGTGGCAATCCTGATGTAATACTTTGTCTGTTAATACACAGTAATCTTTCACTTTACAGCATATGACTAGGCAGTGCTCTGTCTTTATTAACTTCAGATTCTGCAGAATACGTTATATTTATTTTGAATGCAGGCTTTCACATACTCTTTTAAATATTAATGGCTGGTCTCCAGCAGTCAGCATAAATATGATTTGCATTAGCACTAGTCATATCATATTGAGTGCCTTTGATGTCAACTACTCAGGGTACTAGTATCTGACATCATCTCCCGAGGTCACTGACAACTTTGACCTTTATTCTCATGCACAGTTTCTGTAGTCTCAGAAGCTCTTTTGAATTGATTTGAAATTTTGACTCTTCCCTTTATGAGGCAGTAAAATTGATAATTATTCAGATGGGAACTGAGCACTGAGCGAAAAATCAATTCCACCCGCTCTCTACTGCGTATAAAATTACTTCTGAGTCTACCGGACTGAACGGATGGCCAAGGTAAAAGCAGCAGGCAGGAATAGTGGAGAGGATTAGCTGGACGAAACTAATAGCCTAAAGGGATGGCTTTGGAGATGAGGGAGTGTGCCAGTTGGGGGTTATTATCAGCAATGATGGGACTCATTGATCATATGTTTACATCAGGTTTCCATTGGGTTATAAATCAGCCCTGAATAGAAACGGAACACGGGGCCTCGTGCTACCGGAGGGACAGCGTATTAGATTATTCTCACTTTCACACTCAGATGAAAAGTGAGACATTGATTATTCATCGGCTGGCCATTAACCACTGGGTTTATAGATGATTTGACTATCGTGGAAGCTAATGAACAAGATTGCTGCTTCCTAACCAGCGGTTTCAGTTTTCAGGACATCTGTTTGGGCTCAGTAATGTGTAACCCTGCTAAGGACTGGGTCACAGACACTTAACGGCGATGAAAAACTGGGCCCTGGTGGCAAAGTGTGCTCCAATTTGGAGGTCTGTCAGCTCTGTACCTGCGCTGCTGCCGCAGAGAGTTGCTGGTCAGGTCTCGGGTTCCCGGGGGGCTCCGGCAGTAGCTGGATAATGACCTGTCCCCGCTCGGGTCCTGCCCAGCGGGTGCTCCCGG